GCGATTTGGACGGTATCCGTGCCCACTGGCAGTCCCCGGATGCCCACCTTAGTGGGCTTCTCCTCCGCCGGGGTGTAGCAATACCAAGACAGCGCTGGTACTTTTTCGGTGAGCTCGATCAGATATCTTTGTATTGCCCGGAATTCTTCCGGGTTCTGTGGGGTGAATCTAACACCCTTCCCGAACGGACGAGCGTTAGGCGGGTGTCCTAGTTTCTTATTAAGGATTTCGAAGTGCTTCGTCCAGTCCGGGAGGCACTCAGCAACAATCGGCGGGTATCGTGCCTTCTCTTCCTCTTGTTGGGGTTGAGGGGCTTCTGCTGTCGGTTTTGGCATTGCTGGCATCGCTGCCAGTTGGGCGTAACTAGTTGACGGCCTTTGACCGTCATCCTGTGTGAGGCCCGATGGGTTGGTCGGTGCCGATGTCTCTCCGGCGGTTGCTATGGTAGCATAAGATGTAGAGTCCCAACCATAGGACTCCTCTCCTCCCTGCTCGAACTCGGTCGCGTCCATGGTCCTGCGGCCGGGTGAGGTGGGGGAGGGGGGGTTGGCTTCAGTGGTGAAGGTGATTTGGGCGGCGATCTGTGCGTCCTAACTACTTCCTTCCTGGTTGGGGCTCTCTCATCTTCTTCCGACTCCGCCGAGGACGATGATGATGATGGTGATGACTGTCCGGATGATAGGGGTGAACCGATGCACTGCCTTTTTCGTAAAGCGATGCTTCGGTTTCCGGCGGTGTGTGTCTTCTTGCCGTTTTACGGGCCCGTTGCGGTAAGGGCGTCGGTTCCTGCCCACTCGTGCTCTCAGACACGGTGGGCGTGAGCGCGGCGCTCGTTGCGGGTTCTTCTTTGTGCGGCGAAGAAGGTTTTCTCTTGGGGATCTGGCTGTAGGAGCTGACGATCCTTGATTTCTCCGGGTTCGAAAGGTCCTTTACGCAGAGTGGTCTATCTAAAACCCCGGGACGATCCGGGGATTTCCTAACGCGCGGGGGTGGGGGGGTTCCCCCTTTCCCCTGCCGGTCATGTTACACTGTTTTGGTTGGTGGTGTACGTGTGTCTATGTCTATATACCTTACCTAGCAGGCTGACAGCTTAGTCGATGCGCGCCGCGAGGTATGGATGGGAGCGAAGATAAACGACCGCAACACTTGGGCGCACTGCCTACCCCTTTCGTAACGAAAGGGTTGGGGGAAGTTCTAGAGAGCACTCAAACACGCGACTCGACACTACAAGGCACGGAACGCACTTGAGTGCCAAGAATCTGCCTATGGGCCGGTGACCTCGATACCTCACGGAGTATGCGGACTCGACGATCGGTGGAGTATGTCGTACCGGCGGCTGCTTGGGACCACTGCTAATCCTCAAACAGCACACACTTAGGAGATCCTTGGTCACAATTTGTATGAAAACCAGTCTAATGGGGTATCAATAAAGCTATACTCGAAAGAGAGCCGCGCCGTCTGTACGATTTCACAACTCAATTACATCAATTTGTACTATTACTCCCTCACGGTTTGCCCAATATCTTTATTTGTATAAGACATAAATTTATATATTTTATTTATAAAGATAGCACAAAAAAATATCTATACTATGATATACATTACATTATTATATTACAAAAAACCTTTTATTTATTCAACAAAATATGCCTATTTTACAACACATGTACCAAGTTAGAATTCTTAAATATCTAACATATAAAGTTGGAACAATGTTCTTTATTTGAAAATACAAATATCTTAACTAATAATTATATATAATAGTTTAATTTACATTTTCTCTACACATTTTACTATAAAAAATACTTTTAAATTTCTTATACAAAACTATCAATATTTCACAATGATAAGAGAATTTTTACATAGAAACAACACAGAATTCACCTATTTTGCTCATACAGTCAACCTGAAACATTCTTAAAGTCAATTTACATAAATTGCTGAAATTTATAAACATTTAAATTTCCACTTATTTAAACTTTTAATTCTACAGATTAGCGCGCTGCTGTTATCTGCAGCTAAGTGAACAACTAACTTTCACACGGGAGTTTTGGCGGGAAATTGACCGGCGGCGGTTTGCTGCTCCTGTATTATTGTTTAAATAATGGTTTGAAGTGGACTTTGATATGTAAAAGTGTTGCGATTTTGTGTATTAAGTGTCTACGCATGTGAACTATTAGTGAAAACAGTGAAACAAGTGCTCTGATGGTGATGGATTCTCAAGATAAGCTGTTTGTTTGCATAGGCACCTTTAGATACCATCGCCAACTATCAGCTGTCTGCTGGATCAAGTTGCCGCCAAAATCTCCCAAGAACTGCACAATGTGACGCATCAACATATTGTGAAGCAGTATACTATGAAGGAGTGGGGAAATTACAATAAACCGAATAAAAATGCTTAAGACTTGGCCTAAAGGTCTAGATACCAGGCCATAAACTCCAAAAAAAAATAACTTTCACACGACACCTCTTTGTCGGTAAAGCAGGTGGCAATTTTAGCATATTTTACTGCTATCCATTAACACAAGATGAGCAATCAATCCCTGAACGACCCCCAGTGTCGGCAAGGTAGTATCCAATAAGATCTCTTATCAGTTATCAGTTATCCTAATCAGTTATCATATACTTATCAGATAACACAAAGGAAATATTTTATGAATCAAAAATTGAAAAAAGACATTTTATTTTTCATACAAATGTATTCAACTTATAAGATACTACTTATGTAACGTTTTACATTAATTCCACTTATACACAAAGTGTCCATTTCGACCGGAGAACAAATCCTGGCCTCTAACTTTATTTTAATATTTCTTTAAATTAACAATGTTATTGGAAAGGTAATTTCAACCGGGGAACTGAACCCGGAAACATAATTTATATCTTAAAAATTCCCTATATGAATTTATTAAGAAAATATTACTAAGAAAACGACGAACTAGTCCGGCCTGGGAATCGAACCCAAGACCTTCAAATTATTAATTCGATATTTCTTTAAGATTTAACTAAGCATTTTTTTATAAGATTATTACGGCTTGATAATTTAATTTTAGAAGCCATCCGTAATCGGTTAACTAATAAATTGAAATATTTTTTATAGACGCGTCGTCAACACCTATTTATCTACAAAATTCGTAAATGTATGTAACTAAATGACGATACAATAGCTATGGGATATATCTAGGTGACCTGGAGATGCAGCTGGATTATGTAATTTTTTAACTTCTAGTAAAACAATCAACTTTGATTCATTAAATTATCACGTGAGTTTAGCACGGTCGTACTGCAGTGAGCATTTGAAAACCACGGGTATGGAGATATATAGACATCCAGCGGCAGTAGAGGACAGAAACAATAATACTGTAATCGGGTGCAGAATTCATTCACAACACGTTACGACAAAAATGTATTAGACTTATATTATGTTTGATGAGAATATAAATGGTATAAACGCAATAACAAAACATTACTGCTCTTGCTACCATGGTAAAAGGACATTGGGAAGTTGCTCACACCTCATTAGTGTTGTCCATTACTTAGGGTGGGCTAGACATCGAGATCACTTTGGCCATCCCGTACTGGGGATGGATATTTACGAATTTTGTAGATAAATAGGCATTTTGTATTTTTTTAGAGTAACGCCTGAACAAAAACATAAGGCAATATTTTGGTGTTAGCCATTGATTTCGAATATAAAAATTATTTAATTTAACTATATAAAAAATAACTAAAAATCTGAGATTCCCGTTCTCCTTTGTTAAGAAAACTACAAAAAGTAACTCAGTCGGGGAATTGAACCCGGAATACTAGATTATTGTATTAAAAAATTCCCTCTATGAATTTACTAAGAAAATATTGCTAAGAAAACAACAAAAAGTAATTCGACCTGGGATCGGACCCAGGACCTTTAGATTATTAATTTAATATTTCTTTAAAGTTCTACCAAGAGTTTTCTTATAAGACAATTATTGCTCGATAATTTATCTTTAGAAGCTATTCGTAATTGGTAAACTAATAAATTGAAATATTATTTATAGACGCGTCGCCAACAACTATACATATAGTAATAAAATTTATTGATATCAATAATAATATGTAGATATTTTACTGGGTTTTATTAAAAAGCTTAAAATAACCAGTGAAATAAAACTAATTAGAATGAAGGTTCGGTAGCTCAGGGTCTAATTACTGTGCCATCTAATCTAAAAGTAAAAAAAATAAAGTTACAGACTATATACGTCCCACTACTGGGCACAGCACTGGGCACTTGCCTCGTCTCATTTCTGAGAGGGTTATGCAGTAATTAGTCTGCCGTGCTACTCACGATCATGTCGGTGGACTTCGCAACAAGTTTAAAAGATATTTTTATTCTTCAGACGATCTGGAGACTTAAATGATTGTTGATTAAAAGTCAAAATAATATATAGAATAATATTTTTCATTTCGGAGAGTATGCGCAGGAATTGCATAACTTAATTCCTCCTTCTCTGTTCCACTATCGGACAACCAGACGCTCGTCCATTCGGTAATTAGTCTCATTATTCGTCATGTGTACAGCAAAATGGAGGATTTAAGTTGCCAGCTTAGTCTGTCTTTCCATCTGATTACAATGTGTATATCTTCAAGGCAGAAGTGAATAGGTTTTTGCTAAACTAAGTCAGTGCACTATACCATCTTCGGTTGCTTAAGGAAGCATACTGAAAACTCTGAAAATCGTGGATTCAATTTCGCCATTGGACTATTCTCGTGAACACAAGCAAAACTTACTTGGAGTGGTTAACGAGCGTATCAGTATTAATAGTAACATTTGTTTTAAAAAGTACTAATATTTAAATGATATAACGTTGTTTTTATCCTGTAGAACGCTTGTCATATAACTGAATTATCGAATTGATAAGATACGTTGTACGTATAGATCAAGCAACGCTTATAATCAATCGATCAGTCTTCGTATAATCGCGAGTGAAATAGTGAGTCAGGGTATTGTTTTTGTACTAAAAATGTATAGTCGCAGCCAAGATGGACTCCTTGAGAATGGCATAGGTGAGGGATATGTAAAGAGAAAACGCAGGGGTAGAAAGAAAGGGAAAGGCCAGATGAATTTTACATCAAACCAGTTAAATTCTGAAGAAGAATGTGATGCAACAATAGAAGAACGTGATAAAGAAGAAGAAACCCAATTTGCAGATGAGGAATTTAATAACAATATAGAACCTATACAAGTTGTAAGTGATACAGTAGAAAATGTTGAAATCTGTGAAATAGCAGGTGAAGATATAGCTGATCGCTTAGAAAGAACAGTGACTATGGACGGTATTATGAAAGCACCGCCTCAGATGAGCATATTGGAACCCGAACCTTATGAAAAAAAAGAATTGTATGAGCCAAGTGAACCACAGGAGGTAGAATTTTTACCATATAATACTAGAGCTTTATCGAAACATGCCACAACGTATGAATTGGAGAAGTTTGAAAAGAATTGTCTTGTTATATTCAATCAAGAGAATGTTGAAGGATTTAAACCTCGATTTGGCACAGAAAAAGACGTACAAGTTTTAAAAGATACATTTTCTAACTTCGGTTTTGAGGTGACAGAACACAAGGATTTTACAAAGGATGAAGTTTTCAAGGAATTAAAATCGTGTATGTATATTTGTGTGCAGCATTTTTATTTATCTATACAAATAAATAAAATTGAAGTATCTGTTTGTAATGTAAAAATAACTTTTTACTAAATGCATATGAATCTATATAAGGTACTTATAATAAAAACATAATTTTTAAAATTTTTGTCTGTCTGTCTGTCGGTCTGTCTGTCTGTCTGTTTGTTGCGGCTAATCTCCGGAACGGCTGGACTGATTTCGACGGGACTTTCACTGGCAGATAGCTGATGTTCTAAGGAGTAACTTAGATTACTTATATTTGCGAAAATGAATTAGGGTTCTGAGCAATAATTAAACCCTTAATTACACGCGGGCTAAGTCGCGGCGAACAGCTAGTACTATATAAATATTAATCTAAAGTTTAGTAAATTAAGTACCTTCAAGATTTCTGCGCTCGAATCGTAATTGGAACTAATATTTAAGCGAAATAAGACTTGTGATTTCTTCTTCGTATTTTTAACCAAGATTTTGGTTTTAAATGTCTAGTGTTATCCGTGTTAACGTGTAACAAAAGTGGTTCATCTATACATATCATAAAAAACTTCTATAAATATTTTTGTAAGCCAAAAGATTATCTCATTAACAATTTATTATGATTGAATACTTTTCTCCAAATGTCAACTTAAATTAGACGCTGTGTAACCTCTCGATTGACAAAGGATCCACCGACAAACTGCTAGGAGAAAAATTTATTCGTTTATGTTGGTACCAAGTTTTCACAGACTGGTGAATGTGTGGAGTAAGTCTACAAGTTGTTCTAGGATTTCCCACAGTCGCCTTATACGACTCTAAGCGAACCAATTTTCCAAGTGATGCTTGTAAGTTGGCGTATTCTTGGGAGAGCCCGACCGATGATTTTGTATCGCAAATATTCGCTATGTGATGGTGAAGCAAGAATAACTATCGCCCTAATTCATACCGTGGCTGTTGTTTGACGCGAAGGAAAATTCCCAGAAGAAGATTTTTTTATAGGAGAGGGGCAAACGCGTATGCGGCTCACCTCTTGGTAAGTGACTACCGCCGCCCATGAACAACTGCAACAGCAGGGGAACCAGGGGAATTGCAGATGCATAGCTGGCCTTTTAAAAAGGAATAGGCTCTTTTCTTGAAGGTCCCTAGATCTGGGCAATGTGATTAAGAACTGTGCCCTTCTACAGGTAGTGGTATTACCATTTTGTATTTATACAATATATAGAATAACCAGACGACTCACGACTCTGGTACGGCGATTGCCAATTTGCCTGCGCTACATCCAACATGCTTACAGCAAAATTTATGAAGAATAGTCTATGTGAAGGAGTGCAGTCGCATCAACTGATTTTAATAATTAACTTTTAAAAAGGTGAAGTAAAGTTACAGCCTATAGCGGTCTCATTATTTGACACAGTCATAATTTCTGAGAGGGCTATAGTGCAATTACACTGGTGCGTGTCGGTGGACACATGAACACATGTCCTTGAATTTTTTTAGACATCGCTTTCTTCACGATATTTTCCTTTACCGCCGAACATGTATAGTAAATAAGCACTTAAAGCGCTTACCCTTTGAGCTATTACTTGTATCTTCTAGCTTTTAATAATTTATAAAATTATGCAATAATTTTCCATAAATAAACGACGCTATTTCATAACAGTATTGTAATGAAAATGTAAATGATGTTGTTTGTAGATAGATGTTGTCGGAAAATATTTGATTACAGTATCCTTACAAAAAAAATCGATCGAAGAAAGATCGATGATTAATGACGCCTGATACGAGATTTCTCTCGTATGATGGAGGCGTTAATTTTTTCATCATCGGCCAAATAACCCACACTAGAGAGGAATCCCTAATGATCTAACTTCAAAAGTATCGCTGGGAAAAATCGGAAAAAAATATCATATATTTAGCAAGTTATTATTAAGTAGATTAAATAGTGAAAATATTATCAGAATAACGTTATAGTTTCTCAATTAAATTACAGTGTGTTATTATAGATAAGTTTGATGAAATATATGGCAGCTGGTGCAATCTTGAAGAGGCATATTATACATAAGAGAGATGATTTTGGTCCGAGTCGGTTTTATTGTTTGCAGTTTGTAATTGAAAATTAAAATTGAATTTCTCATTTTTATTTGATATTTCAGTCAGTGAAAGAGACTTCACGGATTACGGGTGCGTTGCTGTGGCAGTGCTGACACACGGCTCTAATCACGGCCTTCTCCGGGCCAAGGATCAGCCCTACAGTGAGATCGAAATCATAAACCATTTCAAAGTTTACAACAAACCCACGCTGGTCACGAAGCCAAAGATCTTAATTATTCAGGTAACAGTGATTTTTGAATAGATATTTAAAATACAAAAAAACTATGATTTTTTCTACCGACTTCAAAAAGGAGACGGTACTCAATTCGACTGAATGTTTTTTTATGTGTGTTACCTCATAACTTCTTACTGCGTGAACCGATTTCGATGATTATTTTTTTATTTGAAAGTTGGTACTTCACAAGTGGTCCCATATACATTTGATCAAGATCTGAGCAATAGTTCTTGAGTTTTTTCTTAATAATTTATATTGAAGTCGGTTGTACAACATTTTTAATTTTAAATTACATATATTAAAAATAGTGTGCTTGTTCCTTTACATTCTGTGAATTCTAGGAACAAGTACAGGCTACTTATACCAGTCACTCGGTACTCCAAAGAGGCAGTATTTCAAAAAATATGCAGGCTTTATCTATCAAAAAGTAAAAAGAATATCAAGTAAAATTGTTTAATAAGAGTTATTTCATTATTAAGAGTATATGATTGATTGAACCCCTGGGAATGAGGTGATCGCTTCCACGCGGTTTCTTAATGTTATCGTATATAATTTTTCAACCTATTATATTGTAAATTAACAAACAAAAAAAAAAAACAAACAAACAAACACACTCACGCCTGTCACCCAGAGGGGTAGGCAGAGACTACGGACTTTCATTTGACTTCTCTCGCCTCCCCTACATCCATATATCTACGCATACACGCTCGACGGTTAAGGGTACTCCTAATCAGGCACATTTTCAATGTATCGCCGATTTGGTCGATAAACCTTCGTCTAGGGCGTCCCATCCCGACCCTGCCGTTCACTTCTGCAAAATAAATTTGCTTTGTCACTCTTTCCTGGTCACAACGTCATCTCAAACAGTGGTAGAGCCACGCGGCAGCTTTTGCTGTCACACGGATGGGCCGGCTCGAACCGGGGTGGTACCACGACCTCACAGAAAACCAGCGTGAAGGAGATGTTTACCTCTGCGTTTCGCTTGGTGAGTGCAGGTGGCCGGAGGCCCTCTTTACTGGAAATGAGGCATTCCATCTTAGTCCTCACGGGTGACAACGCATCTACATTTTGATTTGTAATAGAAGATAGATGTAGATGTCTATGGGCCGCATCAACCACTTACCATCATGTGGACTGTGTGCTCATTTGTCACCCTTATCCTATAAAAATATATCTTGTAACCACACTTTTCTCTTATCACACTATTTCTCACCCTGTCATTCAGATTCATTGTAAAAAAAAGTCCCGCTGAGTTTCTTTCTGGTTCTTCCCAGGGCAGAGGTATTTTCCAAATAATATATATACCATTGAATAAAAAATATTCTTTTATATTGTGAAACAGTGAATTATAAAGAGTTACTGTTGTGTTTCGTATGGTGAGTGTCGAGAACCGGAGACCCTTTTTACTGGAAAAGAGGCATTCCCTCTCAGTCCTCACGGGTGGCAACACATCTGCATTTTGATTCTTTATTGAGGATAGATGTGGATGTCTATGGGTCACAGCAACCACTTACCATCAGGTGGACAGTGTGCTCGTTTGTCATCCTATCTTATAAAAAAGTTATGTTTTTGAATTCCAAATACATTTTATTGTCCATACAATTTTGAGTTTTTTTAGAGTCGACCCTATTTTTTGATTTTTAGTTATTGTGGTACTTGTGTCGTATATCTCAAGTTGTGTCGATTGAGATTGAGGTGTTAAATGCTCGTAGTTATTTTATAGTACATTAACAACCCGATAACGATTCCCATGACCCAACAATGTAATTATTATTTACAATTTTAAGTACTGATTTACCACGTCGTACTTGTCGGTCAAGGAAAACATCTTATATGTCTTAGAAACTAAAATACTTGTAGGATATGTGAAATTCATAACGCACACTGTAACAGCGTGGTAGTCTAATTGCCCTATAATTTTGTTTACATAATTTTGGTTACAGGAGATGTGGTGTAGGTACTATGATAAAGCAATATAACAGGAATATTAAATGATATCATCACTCAACGTGGACTCCATATAAGGAGTAGAAATAACATCTATTTAGTTCAGTAATATCATATTATATTTATAGAAGAAGATACCATTCATGTGGCTCTACCTGGAACCACGTAACACAAACCCTGCCCCCTACCTATGTACCTACGTCACAACCACTATATATAAGTCTCCTCCAAAACAATAAAGAAAGAGTTATTAAACTGCATCAGTGAGTTTAATTTATTGCATTGTTCAAACATTACACTATGTATGTCACCCTCTAATAAATGATATGAGGGTGTTACCACACCAATCGATCGACCGTCGATCAATGCCAGTGCTCGACGTCGATCGATGCCCATCGATTGGTTTATTAGCCGTAGCTGCTTCACTGATACTGGTCGATAAAACGTTGTTCAATCATCGATCGACGTCGATCAAGGTCGATCAACAATTAACCGATGTGGTTGTGGGCTTATCATCAGTATCTTTCAATATTTATTAAGAAGAGGACGCGTTATTGTTGGTCAGTACGCTCTTGCTCGTATTATTATTGCAGGTTGCGGTGCGGGTTTTCGAATAATTAAGTAACTCGATCGACGTCGACCAATCCATTCTACCATCGATCAATCGGTTTGGAAGAAACTATCGATCGATGTCGACTCATCTATTTTACTACCATCGATCGATCGGTGTGGTAGAAACTATCGATCGACGTCGACTAATCCATTCTACCATCGATCAATCGGTTTGGAAGAAACTATCGATCGATGTCGACTCATCTATTTTACTACCATCGATCGATCGGTGTGGTAGAAACTATCGATCGACGTCGACTAATCCATTCTACCATCGATCAATCGGTTTGGAAGAAACTATCGATCGATGTCGACTCATCTATTTTACTACCATCGATCGATCGGTGTGGTAGAAACTATCGATCGACGTCGACTAATCCATTCTACCATCGATCAATCGGTTTGGAAGAAACTATCGATCGATGTCGACAGTTGCGGCAGAACTCCCGATACCATCCACACCATCTGGATGATTGGCGGTCTACCACTGTGCGATTTAGAAGATGTTTTCTTCCTCGCACAACTTCCTTATGGAATAGTTTACCACCAGCGATTTTTCCGGACCGATACGACTTAGGGACCTTCAAGAAAAGAGCCTACTCCTTTTTAAAAGGCCGGCAACGCATCTGCAATTCCCTTGGTGTTGCGGTAGTTCATGGGCGGCGGTAGTCACTTACCATCAGGTGAGCCGCATGCTCGTTTGCCCCCTCTCCTATAAAAAAAATGTCGACTCATCTATTTTACTATCATCGATCGATCGGTGTGGTAGAAACTATCGATTGACGTCGACTAATCCATTCCACCATCGATCGATGTTATCGATGGACGATCCCACATTGTTGTGGTAACACCCTGATGTGATTTCAATTGATTATTACTTTTAAGTTATATTCCGAAAGCATATTATGATACTGAATCTATATTAAACCAATTATTCGACTCAAAACCGCGAACTGAACATTCATTAAGCCTCCCCTACAGATTGTATTATGGCAGGGGAGGGGGGGGGGGATACTTGTTGCAATTGCCACGCTTGGCACGCGGTTTTTCAAGTGTAGCTTTATGTAATTTTGGTTGTTATGAGGTAGATGCTGCAGCCCTTCTTTTGCTTAATTTCCTTCTGTCACTTTTTACGATATCCGAGGGATGAAATAGGGTAGTGGGATTCTCTATTATACATTCGATAGCTTCTTCAATACCAGAAGAATCGCAGGGTACGGATACTGGCTCTTAAAAAAGTTTTAAAAAACTTCGTATCGGTCCGAAAAGAAATCGCCCGTGACAGCAGATTTCATAAAGTCGTGCGAGGCATAAAACTCCTGGTAAATTGCATAGAAGTGGTTGGCAAGCATTCAGATTTTGCTTGTACTATTTTCTATTCTGTGGTGTTGTGAAGTTTTCTAACGTGTGATGCTGGAACTTGGCGGCTAATTGAAAAGGAAAATTGTTCGGATTTAATCCCCGTGGTATTAGCACTAACTAATACATAGAAAAGAAATACGGGAATACAATGATTTTTATAGGATAGGGTGACAAACGAGCACACAGTCCACCTGATGGTAAGTGGTTGCTGTGATCCATAGACATCTACATCTATCCTAAGTAAAGAATCAAAATGTAGATGCGTTGTCACCCGTGAGGACTAAGATGGAATGCTACTTTTCCAGTAAAAAGGGTCTCTGGTTCTCTACACTCACCATACGAAACACAGCAGTGTTAGGTTGCTATTTTAACTTGGTATTCTGTGAGAGTGTGGTTCTTCCCCGGTCGAGCCGACCCATTATGTACATATGTCGTAACTTTCTTAATTCCTAAAACGTACTTTGCGAAGGTTAATTTTAAATGAAAATATTTTAATTTTGACAATAAGCTTGAATTGCATTCCTTGTATACATTTATTATCAAAAAAATAATTGAAATACCGATGAGATGAAAAGTATACGCACTCGTAATACCCGTAAGAATGTAATCTTCGAAGAGATATTTTGAAATAGATAAAACGTCTTAGGTTAAGTTTATCGATTTATTTAAATATACAGTAGGAATCGGCCGAGCTGATTCACTCCGGAAATCTGTTGTTATAGATACTTGCTGATATAATGTGATAAAAGTGTTGATAACACGGAACAGATATAGTGTTGGATTCCCCTGCATTGCATCATCACCATCATCCTCATAATTACAGCCAAACAAGCCTACTGTTTAACAAAGGTCTTTTCCAAGGGATGCCCACAAACACAGTCGATGACATCAGGACTATATTTTAACGTGAAGTGGTAGAACCACGCCGTGTAGTGGCGGTAAGAATATCCACTACCATATATTATTCCGTGGGTGTCGTAAGAGGCGACTGAGAGAAATAAATCAATAGATGAGCAGCACCGTCTTTCTAATAAGAACAAAAAAATACTGCGGTTGACACAACGCTTGCCAAACGTGGCAACTATGGCAAATATCCCCCCTATGAAATCTATGGAGCAGGCCTATGTTCAGCAGTGGACTTTAATAGGGATACTGAAGCTTGATACGATGACGGTGAATGACAAACACCGGAAATCCATTTACTACTAACCAGGCATCCCACCTTAGTCAAGGATGTTGTCGCATCTGCATTTTGAATCTTAATCGAGGATAGATGTAGGTGTTTATGAGCCACAGTAAGGCCACAGCATCCACTAATCATAAGGTAGACCGCGTGTTCGTTTCTCAACTTTATTAGTATGGGAAATACATATTATATATGTCGTGCGATATCTCAATTGAGTTGCAATCAATAATCATATTTTATCACCTTGATTGAAATCCACCAGAATGACATCATACGTGACATGTAACAACAGAGTCGTTATCCGAGTCAAGTTAAATAAAATAACATTCTATATACGTCCCACTTCTGGGCATAGGCCTACACATTTCTGAGATTGTTTTTAAACTGTCTTCAGAATATTTTGCAGGTTCCCCCACGATGTAACTTTCTTGTAGCTGTCTTTATACCTCGGCACAGACTTCCTTCCATTTGTGAAAGGGTTTCAGGGCAAGGAGTGTATACCGCGTTGCCGCAATGAGTGTTGGCGCACTTCACATGTTTTCGAAATATATATTTTATTAATTTTTAAGACAAATCAGCTTTCCTCACGTTGTAATTCTTTCACCGCTGAGCACCTGGTAAGTCAGCACCATGTGCTTCCGGGGCTTGAGTCCGGGTAGAGTAGGGGAGAGAGGGGCTCGTTGTAACGATTTTTAGAAAAACAAATAAAATATTGAAAATTTTTGAAAAAGGGTCTGTGATTTTGGGATCGAGCAGCTACTATTTTCTTTGGTGTTTGAATGGTTATGCCCTATGTGATATAGCTATTTAATCAACTTAAAAACCTTAAAAACTATTATTTGAAAACAAAATTAAACGCAGAAAGGTCCAATTATTGGATAATAATAACGCTGTTGGCTTTGTTGCGTTGAACGTAAAACTCTTTAACAATACAAAAAAAGCTATTGTTTTTTTTATAGGATAGGGTGACAAACGAGCACACAGTCCACCTGATGTTAAATGGTTGCTGCGGCCCATAGACATCTACATGTATCCTCGTTTGGTAATCAAAATGCAGATGCGTTGTCACCCGTGAGGACTAAGATGGAATGTCTCTTTTCCAGTAAAAAGACTCTCCTGTTCTCTACACTCACCATACGAAACACAGTAGTGTTAAGCTGCTATTTTACGCTGGTGAGAGCGTGGTCTTACCCCGTCGAGCCGATCCATTTGTGCTACAGAACTACTAATATAGCTGCAGCATGGCTCTACCACGTATATATATATTGTGTGGCTAAAGGTTTTTTAAATATATTCATAAAATATTTGTTAATCATTTTATCATCCAACAGGCATGTCGGGGCAAGAGTGAAATGCAAGGCGTGGTGGTGTTTCGATCAGGGGTAATAAAAAAAGACTACGACGAATCGCTGGAACCGTATACGTTGCCTGCGGAGTCCGACATGTTGATATTGCATAGTTCATATGTCGGCCATCCATCACATAGGTATGCACCCTTTAAAACATTCATAATAATTGTTGTCATTGTCAGCATGTAAACGTGCAATTATTAGTAAGCTGAAAATATTAGGAAGCTGAAGTGGAAATGGGCCTCAGTCCACATACGCAAGGAAAAATGCTAGTCATATACAAATACTAAGACGTGTATCTAAAAGTTTCCGTAATCACAGAATTTTACAAATGGATTCATATACGCCACAACTACACGCCATTAGACCGTTTTTTTATACATAATGGTGTCAAACAAATACATAGTCCACTTGATGGTAAGTGGGTACTGTGGCCCATAGACAACATCTATCTTCGATTAAGAATCAAAATGCAGATGCGTTGTCACCCGTGAAGACTAAGATGGAATGCCTTGTGTCCCAGTAAAAATAATCTCCTGCTTTCTACACTTACCTTACGAAACAATATAAAACAATAATAAATAGCATAGCCATACAGCAGGGAAACGCAGCCAGCGTTCTTGGCACGATAGATACCGCGGGGAGTAAGACTGTATGATAATTAAGTTACTGGTTTTAATTTTTTTAAATTATAGTTTTTAATGTTGTATATAATAAAATATTGTAATAAAATATTGTAAATAAAATATAATAAATTAATCACATAAATTTTATTTTCAGAGATGAACTACACGGTTCGTGGTTCATTCAAACGCTTTGCAACAAGATCACCCAGCTCGCTCCAACGCACGACTTCGAATCCATTGTGGTTGAAGTTAAACGTGAGGTAGCTGTAGAAAAATATCACGAAGAATACAACAGGAGAACATTCGAGATGGATATTAACAAGCAGATGCCCGTTACGACATCAACTTTAATAAGAAAATTATATTTAAAGAGATTTGGGGACGAATCTATGAAGCTGATGGCATCATATAATGACGCAAGTTCCCCAAGGAACGAAGTTCTCGACAATAGCGGTTCAAGTACGCCCCTGTTGGTCCAGTTTGGTCCTTGTTCTTGCTTTTTGGATCATTTTACCTACTTAAGAAAGTGCTTAAGGTAAATATTTATAATCGCTTTGTTACGTGGTAGAGCTATGCTATGTATTATGGTTGTAGCATGAATGGGTCGGCTCGACCGGGGAGGACCTGAGTTTCGTATGGCGTGTGTAGAGAACAGGTGATCCTTTTTACCTCTGATCTGTTTCTTCTACCAACAGCGATGCATTCATTTATTTTAGTATATAATTAACACTTAAATATTTAATTATATACAATATTAAAAACTATAATAATAAATAAAAGTAAAGTAAGTAAGTAGTAGTAAGTTTTAGTATCGGTGTGAAGGGTGAGAGAATCAATATAATTACCGGTGGTGAAGCAGTATATAGTCCTCAGAGGTGACATTGCACATGTAGATTAATTTCTTTGTTTGAACTTGGATTAAAGTCTCCATGCCGTCAGTTGAACAGGTATCTATTCTGATAGCGTTTTTATGTTAAATAAAACTTAATTTTTACCCGCGGCTCTGTTCGCACTTAGTTATAAGTCGACAATTTTTTTTTACTGAATTTATTTTAACTAAAAGTTGCAGAACGCTCTACTGCAATACAGTTCTATAGACTACATTAAATGATTTGATTTTTAAATAATTTAGCTCAGAGAAACAGTGCAGGTTTAGGCGCTAGTCTAATATGTCAGAGAGCAAGCTATCTGATTACTTTTAAGGTTTGTCTTTCCTGGGATTTGTTAATCGTCATTGATAATGTTAGTTCTTTCCTTAGGGAATTGTAATCGTTTAACGTTAAACGGTAGGTTAGTTTTCATAAATAGGAATGCGTGTAGGAGCACAGTCGCGCCCATGGCTTCTCCTGATAAAATTGTAGAGCTTGTGTGAGTCATCGGGCAATAACATTTACAGTTCTATCTATGTAGTGCACGTCACGATTATTTGTCATAACGTTCACCTCGATACCGGCACAGCACCGCAAAAGCCGGTTGATTGCAGGAACTCACGCTCTCGGTATAGCCTAAGTTTTAATTATTTAAGTACATTAAAACTGTTATGAGCTATTTATATAGTAAATAGTGCCATCTAGGTACGAATGTTGTAAACAACGAACTGCCACGATATTCTTGCGTCACTTATTTTTTTTATCGTGTTTTTATTGTAATTTTCTAGTTTGTCTGTCGTTCCGGGTGAGCTGGAACTTCCCTTTAAGCTGAAAACTTCAAATTTTGAATATAGTTCAATTTTATTTGGATAACAATGCAAGGATATGAAATAAAAATACTTGTTTCATATTGTTTCCAAAATCAATTTCAGTAATTTAAAGACGAAATAATAAAATATTCGTCACAATACAAAGATAGAATTGATAAGAGTTATCCGTGTGCGTCCGAAATACTCGCAAGTTTTATTTTATTTCTATAAACAAAATAGAAGTCATTCATCAAAGTTAGTCATAATTTTTTAAGATAAGAAGTCCTAGTCGAAGTTTACGCAGCACACATCAAGACATTTTATTCTAATAGTAATATAGGATAGCTAAACGTGGGCTATATTTTTGTAAAAATTTTGTAAAAAATTATTATTCAGACTCATCTATTCTGTTTTGTACCGTATGTTATTGAATAGTTTTATCAAAATCCATTTAGTCATTTTTGCGTAATTAAGCCAAAAAAATACATGTCTATTATATCTAAACATCCAAACAAAACTCATATTTATTAAATATATAATATTAAATAAGAAGGATAGATGAACTGTAACGACAAAAAAATATTGTTCGATATTGTGAACTAAAGATGTATAATATAGACTGTATTACAGGAATACAAAAGGCATTTCTTTTTGTCATGTAGGTAAGTTCAGAGACTATCGGTGAAGCGGTATTGGAAATAATTTAAAATTAAAAATTTTGTACAGCCGACTTCAATATAAGCGACTTCAATATAGGTTATTTAAGAATAACTCAATAACCATTGGTCTGACCTTGATCAAATTCATATGGGACCACACGAGAACTATCAGCTTTCATATAAAAAAAGAATCATCGAAATCGGTTCGCCCAGTACAAAGTTATGAGGTAACACACAGAAAAAAAAACATACAGTCGAATTGAGTACCGTCTCCTTTTTGGAAGTCAGCAGACAAGATAATAAAAGCGACTACAGAACTTTAAATACAATTTAGGGATTTATTATTAGGGAAAATACGTGTTTAGTTATAATGTTAAATTCCCAATTTTTTAAGCAGTAGTAACCATGCTGTAACCACTCAAAACGAATTTAGAATATGTATGATATAGTACGTAAACAGCAAGAACTATCATATTTTTTATGATTAGAAATCAAAATGCAATTGCCTAGTTACTCCTAAAGACTAAGTTGGAATAATAATATAATGTCCCTTATACTTTAGAAGAGATACTATTATGTTGGTTTTTTAAGCGTTCACGCTAGTTCTGTAAGAGCCTGATTCGTCTCCACTCGAACCGACCCATTAATGCTGTAGTCATAATATAGCTACAGTTGCCGATATTACATAGTTTGTACTAAATGTGGAATTCATAAGATAGGATAAGAAAGGATCTACAGTATAATACAAAAATAAAGCGCAACAATAAATCAATAATTACTTAAAGATTTCTAATGTTTACGCCGACACTACACATTGAATAAAACCATGTTTACGGATTTTATCGCGTTTAATTTACTTATTTTAATTCCCGACGTTTCGGGTGCTTTACAGCAACTCAGGGTTTGGGTTTGGGGTGTAAACATAGTTTTAACCAATCAATAATTACTTCTAAAATATTCATGTAAATTATAATAAAATTTAGATAATAACCATTCTTTCAACTTTTTCTTAACTCGTGGGCATTCTGATTTCGCTTATTAAAGTACTTTTACTATATATCTAACTAGAAAAATTTAACAGTGCACACATCAAAAGCATTCAATATGTTTATTACTCTTACTATATCATATCCAAAGTTTTAATACAACTACTTCCCACCTGATGGTAAGATGCCGAATTGAAAAAGGCTATTCACTCTTGCCTTGGAGTCACTCACATAGTAATCGGATGGAAAGAGATGCTGGCAAATTATTTCACTCGTTTGCTGACGCGTTACAATCGACGAAACAAACCGTTTGGTTTGAATGCGTTTTATATCGACAAACGACAACAAAGCGGTGGAGACTGGCCGAGCGTCTGGTTATCCGTTGATGGAAGGGAGATATAGGAATTAAGACATGCGTTTATGCAATTCCTGCGCACACTGTCTGCAATTCATTCTTTTGAATACCGAAAAGCTGGCTGAAGAAGTAAATTGTTAAAAAAAAGTAAATTTAACGCTCTAATAGTGTAACAAAACTACGTTTATCTCCGTGATAATCTATATCTAATCTAAACAAAAATAATCTGATAAAAATGTATCTTCCTTTCAGTTATTACGTCGAAGAAAATCCGCACGATGTAACCGCGAGGTCATATTTGGATATTTCTGTATCGTTCGAAGACGGCATTGAATTCAACACCGCTAAAAGGAAAATGGCGAAGGCAATTTGTAATTATTTAGGTATATATGCTAAGGATACACAATATTTTAAGTATTTATATTTTTATAAGCACGACTGATGTAAGTATAATAAAAAAAATTCACGTTAAAATTTGAGTTTCTTTTTCTTTAACAAATTTCGACGACATTGACGACATTATTTTAGAATAATTAATAGAATTAGGCGTTACTTTGCGGAAATCCATTATAATAAATACCATCATTCATCATTACAGCCCTTCACAGGTCCACTGCTGTACATAGGCGTCCCCCAAGAAATGCCACAAAGCACGGTCCTAAGCCACATGCATCCATCGATTTCCTGCATATGTTACCACGTCGTCACTCTAGCTAGTGGAGAGGGGGGCGCCCTACACTTCGCCTGCCGGTGGCGACCATGGTAACGGCGGGGCAGAGGGTGCTAAGAATCTCCGGTAGAGGTTCAGTTGCCACCTAAGACGATCGATGTGGAAACATATAAACACATATAAAACAAACATATAACATATAAGGCTGACGAGAAGTATCCTGGTGGAAGATCCTGGCGCTGGAAAAAGAGATAAACAAGTTGCGCTGGGATATTATAGGGTTATCTGAGGTCCGACGAAAGGGGGATAACACGGTGATCCTCGAATCCGGCAACTTGTTTTAACACCACTTGCATTACAAAAACGTGTGACGTCACGCTGTACGCTCCGCCAAAAGCTCTTTACCCTTAGACTTACCTTTACAGCTGATTTACAAGTATTAAGTTGTCAAGTAATTTACAAAATTTTAACTTAATTATAAGTGACTTAGTGCATGTAAATTGTAAATAATAGTAATAGTAAACTAGTACAATAGAATTTTAAATAATAGTAATAGTAAACTAGTACAATAGAATTTTAAATAATAGTAATAGTAAACTAGTACAATAGAATTTTAAATAATAGTAATAGTAAACTAGTACAATAGAATTTTAAATAATAGTAATAGTAAACTAGTACAATAGAATTTTAAATAATAGTAATAGTAAACTAGTACAATAGAATTTTAAATAATAGTAATAGTAAACTAGTACAATAGAATTTTAAATAATAGTAATAGTAAACTAGTACAATAGAATTTTAAATAATAGTAATAGTAAACTAGTACAATAGAATTTTAAATAATAGTAATAGTAAACTAGTACAATAGAATTTTAAATAATAGTAATAGTAAACTAGTACAATAGAATTTTAAATAATAGTAATAGTAAACTAGTACAATAGAATTTTAAATAATAGTAATAGTAAACTAGTACAATAGAATTTTAAATAATAGTAATAGTAAACTAGTACAATAGAATTTTAAATAATAGTAATAGTAAACTAGTACAATAGAATTTTAAATAATAGTAATAGTAAACTAGTACAATAGAATTTTAAATAATAGTAATAGTAAACTAGTACAATAGAATTTTAAATAATAGTAATAGTAAACTAGTACAATAGAATTTTAAATAATAGTAATAGTAAACTAGTACAATAGAATTTTAAATAATAGTAATAGTAAACTAGTACAATAGAATTTTAAATAATAGTAATAGTAAACTAGTACAATAGAATTTTAAATAATAGTAATAGTAAACTAGTACAATAGAATTTTTTGGTTAAATTAGTGGGCGTGGCTAAACACATGTTACATTAGGATTTTCTTTAAAAATTTTGAAGTGGACGAAAGATACATATTGTGATACTACAGTAAAGTTTGTTCAAGAATGCTTAAAAAAAAAAAAACAATTTTCAATAACGAGAAAATATCACACAACACATAATTTTAATTTTGGCTCTACATTTCTTTAAGCGGTATCTTATGTTCATTTGTAGACAACATGTAATTAAAGGATTCTACTGACATCCGTAGTGCAGGGGAACACTTTTTTCTGCTACTTCGTGAAAGAAAATTTACTCTTCTAGATATTTTCACTTCCCAGACTATTTCATCCCCTATTTTATTCAAAATCTCACTACGAATTAAATCATTGAACTTATGACAGGAATGTGCTATTGTTTATAGAACAAGGGTGCAAAAAGAAGCACACAGTTCACCCGATGGTAAGTGGATGCTGTGGCCCACAGGAACCTACATCTATACTCAATTTAAAATGAAAATGTTGCCGCGTCGTCAGTCCGGAGGACTAAGATGGAATGCTTAGTGTCCAGTAAAAAGGGCCTCCGGTTCTGTACACCCACCGTACGAAACAGCAGCTTTAAGCTGCTACTTTATTACTCGACCGTCTTGGACAAACTAAAGAGCTTAACAAATGTTAAGTATTGCGGATTATCCTTAAGGAAAACTAGGCACGTGCTTAAGGGCGCAAGGTAAAAAAAAAAGAGGAACGTGGAGGTTATTAAACGAAAAAAAGAATTTGTCTAATTGATAACTCCTACATCATCATCACTCTCTCGTCACACTTTTCATTCACGCCCACCCGTAAAGTGTACTCGTGTCCTAATTATTTTACAACTCTTAAACTATATTTTAAATTTATTTATTATATTTATAGTTTATTTCCAAAATTATCAGTTTCAAATTATAATATATGGCCGCTAGAAGTGAGCCGTTGAGATGCTAAGCTAGGACGCTGTGGACATTTAATCCGCCTCTGATTGATTATGTGTAAACAACCATTTAAGATTAAGTCGCCGAAAGTTAACTTTAAATTCAGTTAATTATTTGATTATTTAATACGTGTAAATCAGCATTTAGATTAGAATAGCTTTTAATTAGGAGAACTAAGTTATGAATTTTACATCTTTAGTGCGTGTTGCAGATGTCAACCCAAATAAAAAAGATTGGTCGTTCTGCGTAAATTGTTATGCATGTTTTTCATGACCCCGTAAAAGTTAAGAATACGTCTATCCTGTTGTTGAAAGGATTTGGCTAATTTGTCAGGCTTACGTCACGTATTAGCGATCGCAGGTGCAGACCTCTTGTATCTTAGAAGCTCATCTCAATCTCGTAAGAACGCAGACCGGCGACTGACTGCGTTTCCCACAGTCCGTCTTTTACGACACCCATTATCTATATACCCTTATACTATTTTCTGTATAACCGAGATAATACAATTTTGTATATGTATCCATTAATGTGACGATTGTCGAGTAGCAGATTGTAAAAATATAATTCGAATATGGTTACAAAATGTGTCATACGATGATACGGTAAAGTTGTATACATCTGAAATACTGGTTTATTCTAGTTCAGGTACTTATAATTATAGACTATTTTTAGATAAAGGCTTCCATTGAATTCATTGTATAGTTTATCGATATAAAAATTAAATTAGCTAAAATAAAGAATAAATACTAAGTATATAACATAAAAAATATATAAATCGGCCGTATGCTACATAACGGATTTTAAGAGAGCAAAATCCTTTTATTGGTCACATTCAGCGTCTCTGTACGGATTTTTCCGTAGATCTATGGAATTTTTTCATCGTCTACGGAGCTACGGAATTTGAGTTGAAATTTACGGAATTTGATTACTATGTTAAACATATTTTTTTTTTACTTCACAGTCCTTTCAGAATAATTACATTTTTAAAAACTTAACATAAACATTTTTTTTATAATGATTGTGAACTTAGCCGACAACCGACAATCAAAAATTTTAACAATCGAAATATTTTCTTTAGTATAAATCCACAAATATTTAAGTGTTAATTATTTTATTTGTGTTTTCCTAAAAATTATTTCATTAAAAGAAAACAATTAATTTTTAATCCATTTTTAATGGAACTTTTTTCTTATACTCGTATGTGCAGCTTGATTCGATGATATACTATAATTGAACTTACAATAATTTTACATGACAGAAAGAATATCTGTAAAAATTGATCTGTTCTATGATAAAAACAAAAATTTTCGATCCTCTTAAGAAGTATGCAGATCTACGGATATTTTAAATGGCATCTACGGAATTCTGTGGAAATTTTTATATCAATCTACGGATTTGGAAAAATTCGAGTAACCAACACTGGTCACATTATATCCGATCTAAATGCTGAATTTAATCGACTTATGTCATTACAATTCCAGGAATTTAAGCTGTTGTGTTCGTGAATATTATAAATAAACGTGCACTCATTCGTGATGGGCTTATTCGCACCCGATTGAGAAAACAGTACGATAATGAAAATGACTCAGGTATTAATTAGGTCTTATACCACTGACGTCTCTGACCTAGTTACACGTCGTTAAATTTATCCTGTTAGGGATTAAGTCAGAAAATACGTTGTTCAGTCTGCAGAGACATTTAACAGTTGTTATTCCACGAGGATCATAATTGGAGTCTGAAGGATAATTTAAGATTTAAAAAGAAAAAATTAAGTAACAAACTGACTTACAGTCTACCTGGACACAGCCCATGGACGGACACTTCTGTGGATGAGGATGGAATGCGTCACAGCCTGTAGTCATAATGCCTCTCTATAACTTTCAGACCGGGAACACAGCAGTGCACTCACTGTTATTTGGCGGCAAAAATGATTTTAAGGGTGGTACCTACCCACACGTACTCCTGGGAAATTACCAAGTTAAAGTTTTATTTTAGTCAAACCTAAAGGAGTCCAACCACCAACCTACCATTGTAGATTTCCTCAAGGTGATATATTTGGTCCTGGATTTTAAACGTTTTATCAATTATTAAATGCAAAAATAACAATTAGTAATTAATAAATTTTGAATCTAATACAGCCCATGGACGGACACTTCTGTGGACAAGGATGGAAAGCGTCACAGCCTGTAGACATAATGCCTCTCTATAACTTTCAGACGGGAACACAGCAGTGCACTCACTGTTATTTGGCGGCAAATATAATTATAAGGGCAATACCTACTCAGACGAACTCCTGGGCAATCACTAAGTTAAAGTTTTATTTTAGTCAAACCTAAAGGAGTCCAACCACCGACCTACCATTGTAGATTTCCTCAAGGTGATATATTTGGTCCTGGATTTTAAACGTTTTATCAATTATTAAATGCAAAAATAACAATTAGTAATTAATAAATTTTGAATCTAATACAGCCCATGGACGGACACTTCTGTGGACAAG